GTTGCTGATCTGTGAACCCCCCATATGCAGCTGGAAAGAAGCTAAAAGGGTGAAGCCACTATGAAGAATAGTTTGGGAGATGCCCAAAACTACCGTTTTTTACCATCTTTGAGACAATGCCTTCCTGTGCAGCCTGGGCTTCTCTTCACAGTCCGACTCCTCAGATCCACATTAAAGCCAGGCTCGGCAGTGCACACCTGTGATCTCAGTGCTGACACCAGAGACAGGAGGCTCCCCACCTCCCCCTGAGCTTGCTGGCCCAGCAAATCTAGCCTAATCTGTGAGCCCCGGGTTCAGTCAGAGAAGCCATCTCCGTAGTTCAAAATGGTCAGTTCCGGGTCGGTTTTCAAAAGACAGTCAAGATATCAAGATGGGTCACAAACATTGAAAATGTTGATCACCTCAGGCTGGAAGGTTGTGTCTGTGGGCAAAGATCCAGGGCCTGAGTCCCATCCTAGCGTCAGTGCTGAAAACCGAGCATGGTGTGTGTCTGACACGAGTACTGGGCAGGTGGAGGCAGGACGATCCCTAGGGCTAAATGAGGGGCTTTCGTCTTAAAAAAAAAAAAAAGGTGATGCCTTTGCAGGCATGTGCGTGCACACACTCTCATACTCTCACACTCACATTCTCTCTCCCACACACTCACACAGAAAGACACGTGTATGCACACATAAAGAAAATATAAACTAAGGCTTCGTTGAGACTCTGGCCCGTGCCTGTTAGAAATGTTGACATTAAATGCAGTGACGAGGCTGTGCGCTGGCTAGGCTACGAGGATGGGGACTCCCACTGCTGATGCCCGAATGTTTTCCTACAAACACAGAGGAAGGCATGCCAGCAGCACTTACTTATCTAGAGAATATCTGCCCCTGTGACCCAACACCGCGTCTAGACGTGTGTGTTGTGAGATGCACATGAGAACAGTCACACCACGCTGTCAGATTCCACAGGTACACGACAGCCTACGTGCTGTTAGAGAGAAATGGAAATCACAGTAGGGAGAGTCACAGTGGAGACTGGGGCCTATTAACTACAATGAAGATATACCATTTCCCTTATGCATGAGTCCCAAAACCTTAACATTCAGAGAAAGAACTAGAAGTGGAAAAAATGCATCCCTCATGGAAAAGGCTCAAAGTCAAGAAAGATAGAGCCCAAGAATTTAAGGATGGGTGTTTAGGGCGTCAAGTTCTTTTTTTTATTATTATTTATTTATTAATGAAAAGAAGTGACAACTCTAAAAGTCCAGTCACCCTGAGAGGTAGGGAGGCGCCCCGTCCCCAGCCACAGCAGAGCAAAGCCTCGGATGCTGCATTTTCTGCTCTGCGTGTCTGCTGGGCTGCACTTTTGGGGAGCATTCTTCTGAATGGAGGTGCTCCCTCATGAGAAAGCAGGAGGAGCGGGCGGCTTGCACATATCGGCCCTTTATTAACAGGAACAACAGCACCTGCTCCGACCACAGCACTTACCCTCCAAAACAGCAGCCACCCCCACCCAGCTCACGTCAGCAGGACAGGAGCCCGCAGGCTGCACTGTAGCCCTGACCCTTCAGAGACAGGAGGGACCGTGATGACGACATTCCATTGACACGGGAGGAGGAGGGTGGCTGCACTCAGAATGAGGTAAATGTGCCTGTAAACCCCGAGCCCCCGGGGGAGATCCGTGTCTGGCTCCTTCCTCTCCCCGGTCTTCAGGAGGCCTGGATAGCCAAGTGCTCAGTCTGTCTGCTGAACCAGATAACAGTAAGTCTCAAGCTGGGTAAACAGGGTTCTGTTCCCCCAGTGTTCAGAACTAAAAGAAATACAGAGCTGAGCAAACTTTGACATCCCATCTCATAGATGGAGAAATTGGGGCCAGAACAAGAAGTCAGTCATCTCAGCTTACAGAGAGGGTGGGTCCATGATGAAGCCTCAGTTTTCCAACACTCAAAACGGGGCCATGGAGGGGCAACTAGAACACTCACCACGATCTACTTTGCAATAAATTCACTATCTGCAGATTACTGCACAGCCGTGTTCCATCCCCACCTGAGGTGCTTTGGCCACCGTGGCCTTCAGGGACCTGGAGGAGCAGCCAGGACTCAGAACAGCCTTCTGGGGGCATCCATATACAACGGGGCTGTCAGCCTGTGAGTGGCCAGCCATGTGCGGGCTCTGTGCCAGGCTTGGTGGGAACGACATAAAAAGGCTCGCCCACCTGAGTCTAGACTCCTGCCAAGCTCACCTTTTGTTTTTCTAAACAGCTTTGTTGAGGTCTAGTGTGCGGAGTGAGCTCCAGCAGTTAGATGAATTAATGTGTCTGTGTGGTACCACAGCCACCACAGTCCAGTCTTGGATCATTCCAGACAAAGTCTCCAACTGCCCATCTTCGTCACCCCTGCTTCCTTTCCTAGGCCTAAGCAATGGTGGATAGTGTCCATCTTTGTGGGGTTTTTTTCTTTTCAGAAACTTTGTTTAAGTGGGCTCTGATATTGTGCAAGATTTTATCTTCCCACCTCCACGTGCCGTGTAGTGTCACGGCATCTGTGCTTCCTCTCTTTTTATCGTTGAGTAGTATTCCACTGAAAGGAAAGACCATGGTTCATTCATTCAGCAGTTGATGAACCACTTTACTTCTATATTTTGCCTTTATGTTAATGCCATTGTGAATAGTCACATAAAAGTTTTTGAGTGGGCATATGATTTTCCTTCACTTGAGTAGGCATTTAAGGAGTAGAATCACTATTTAGTATTTAAGAAGCCGCCTAACTATTGGGGAAATGAACCAATCTTAAACATTTAGTTTAGTGGTTTAAAGCATAAATTCTTCCTGTTGCATGTCCGCCAATGAAAGACATGTGCTCTTGGACAAATGACTTTGACTTGGTGTCCTCATCTATGAAACTGGATCTGTGAATCTGGCCTCAATGCTGCTGGCTCCTGTAAAGCTATAAAGTCTTGGGGTTTGGAGTTGAATAAAGTCTAGCTATGTAGCTCAGGCCAGCCTTGAACTTACGGTCCTCTAGCCTTAGCATTCCAAGTACTGGGATTACAAGCATGTGCCAACACATCTGGCAAACCCTTTCTTTCTTTTCTTCCTTCCTTCCTCCTTCCTTCCTTCCTTCCTTCCTTCCTTCCTTCTTTCTTTCCTTCCTTCCTTCTTTTTTTTCTCTTTTCCTAAAAGCCAGCTGAGCTGTGGCCCTGTGGGAAGATTCTCTCCCGAGTCCACACATGGGCAGGTTATCACAGATCTACCTTGGAACAACTGAGTGGCTTTAGGCAAACTGCATGCCCCTTCTGGGCCTCCTCTCTTAGACTGGATAAGGCTTGTAGCACAGCAGGCTGTAAGAGCCTTGGAGATGCACTGGGTTCCTGTCGTGAGCAGGACACTCCCATTGCGACATTCACCAGAGACTGAGGACCTTAAAGCTATTTCTGTCTGGGAAACTTTTTTGATTGACTCCTAGAATGACCGGCAACAAAGTCTATGGAGTGAGGGTCCTTGGATCAAATCCTACCCTAGACACTTAAGGACCTTTGGCTTGGATTCAGTGTGCTCAGAATAGGATAGCTACAGCCCACAGTCCCCAGCTCCTGGAATGATGGCCAAGGTGGAAACTGATTCAGACCTCATCTGATGCAGGGTTGGATGAGCACTAGCCATGTAAACTGAGAGCAAGATCTATAGAGCCCAGGGCCCTAGGAGCCCTCTTCACATCCCAGAAGGACACTGCATGTCACCAGCTGCCCTCTGCTGCTGACTTGGCAAAGCCCTATGTCATATGGGAAATTGCAAGGTTTCCACACTGGCCATCCTTGAGAGAAGCCAGAACTCTGCTCCAACTGCCCTTTGATCTGCAAGAAACGCCAGGCTGGGCACCCTGGCAGGAAAAGCTATCATCGCATCTTGTCTCACTCCCTCACAGGCCACAGGCGGGGTGGTTTCAGTCTGCTTCAAATCCCTAAGGAGTTAAACAAAGCCACCAATCCCAGCCCAGCTTCCTCGGGGAACATGGGATGCTTCCCAGCCTTCACTTTTTTCAACTGGGCTATGTGCTAATTCTCTAAGTCCAAAGGGTGAAGGGCTGCTGGTCCAAAAGCCTGGTTCTGTTAAGCTCATAGCGCAGAGGCTAAGGGCAGGCAAAGGGACCTGCCTAACTGGGACTGAGTCTGGCTCTCAGTGCTGCCACTTCCTAAGCCTTCCAGCTAACACCAACACACGAATTCCTGCAAAGGGAAAGGTACTTATTTTGTGCCCTCTAAGTACCCAGAAGCATGGAAAGAACGTTATTTCACATCTGTCCACTCGTCTTCACAACATCTCCGGGAAGAGGGTCTAGTTAATCCTCCTTCCTCCATGAGGAAACTGAGGTATGCAGAGTGAAACGCATTGCCCACAGTCACCCAATAGAGACGCGATTCATGCCCAGGCAGTTTTAACTCAGACCAGACCCTCTTTCACTCAACAGCTTCTGAGTCCTGCCTGGTCAGGGGGAACTGAAGCGCAGAAAACAGAAGGAAGGATCGCGTGGCCAGGTTTAGTTCATCCACAGCGCCTCTGTCCCGCAGGGATGGGGACCTCCCATGCCTGAGACTGAATCAAGCTTGCTAACGACTCTGCTCCTCTGCTCCGTTATATCAGGATTGACCAGGGCGTCAAGGCGTCCCTAATGGTGACTGTGCTTCCTATAGACCGAGCTGACATAGGACCTACTCAACCCGGAGCGCCAGGCGCACGACCTCGGCGCGGAAGCCCAGCGCGCTTTGGGACACCGTCCCCTCTGACAGTGGTGGTGTCACTGTGCAGCCAAAGCCCCTCTCTGCCTTCTCAGGGGAGCCGCGTCCAGCTCAGACAGTCCGTGTGCCCCGGCAGAGGCGATCGCCCCGCTCCCAGGAGCCCGGGATGCCAGGAGGACCCGGGGCAAGACAGCCTGCGCGCCTCGCCAAGCGAGCACTCCCTTTTAAGTCCAGGAATGAGGCGCCCGCCCGCGGCACCCAGGCGCGCAAGCGGACACAGCTTACCTGTCGCGGCGCGCGTCTGCAGGACGGCGGCGGACAGCAGCGCGGAGAAGATGGAGAGCAGCCACCTCGGGCGCTGTCCCTGCGCGGTCCCCCTGTAAGAAGCGGTGACAGAGAAGGTGAGGCGACGGCCGAGCGGCGAGGCCGGGGCGCGCAGGGCGCGGGTCCTACCTGGGTGTCATGGTGCAGCGGCCCGACCGCGGCTCCACTGCGCCCGCGGAACAAAGGCGGCGCTCGGCGGCGGCGGGATCCAGGCTGCCGCCCGCGCCTGACTCAGCCGCGCTCTGAAACCCGACTCCGCCGGGCCCTGCGCTCCCCCATGCGCGCGCGGTGCCCCACCTCGCCGGCGGTCCCCGCTGCGCCTTCCCACGCCCCCTTCTTCCCTCCACCTCAGGGCTTTATGTAACCCGCGAGGAAAGGCCCTCTGGGATCCCTGGGGTTTCCTTACATGACGGACCAGGCTACTGAAGCTCACAGAGAGGAGCCGCAGTGTCCCAGAGCTACACCGCTGAGGTCGCTCCTGGCCGCTGTGCCACACCCAGCACGCCAGCCAGGATCCCACTCGCTCGCTCGCGTGTCCCAGAGCAGCGATGGACGGAAGTCATTCATAGAGCTAGGGCTTTGAAAGCGGTGTGTGTGCTCTGAACATATTGTAATCCCAAAACCTTGACCAAGGGGCACAGCCGTAAGAAACCTGACCTGGCCTCTTCCTGCCTGTCCCCAAGTTAATGATGGAGGAACTGACTTCCAGAGAAGGCAAGGAATTCCCCAAAATATCCACCCACACGGGGCAGGAAAATCGGCATAGGAGAAAACGGCAGAGTCTCAGCCTTGACCAGGCCCAGGTGTGCTACCTGCCTGCAGGCGGGAGACAGACCAGTTAACTAACGCGCAACACAGAGAGCAGGAATCAGGAGCTTAGCTCTTGGGCACACCATTCCCCGGGAATCCTGGCGGTTCCTAGTGCACTGCCTGAAAAGTGGGGGTGAGAACACTTCCCAGTACTCACTGCACCTCTACCCTGCGGTTGGCACTGTGCTGATCATTCATTCCCTCAGACCACAAGGGCCGGGAAAGGCAGGACCCCAGGCTCTTAAGGGACGGAGGCACCAGAAGACAAAGTGACCCCAGAGCCAGGAGGGCCCCGATGGAACTAACAAGGAGGACACTGCCCACTCCAGGTGGTTTTGACATATACTCGCACTGTCTATGGATGTGAACCCTCTCTCCCCTTTTGCAGCCTTCTGTGATGGGTGTAACACTTCTTATGAACCCACAGGGAATTGGCTCTCTCAGACTTGTGTTTAGCTCTTATTTGTAAAATGTATCAGCTGGATCTGTAACTGACTTTCTGAATACATTCTACCTATGAAGACTGTTATGTTTGACAGTTAGTACCCGCAGCTATAAACTGGTGGCCTGGGCTCCATGTGGTCCACACATGAGTTTGGTTGGTTTGCTGGGTGATAGCCTCCAAATTAAAAAAAAAAATGTTAATGACAATATTTTATAAATTATGGGTCCATTTAAGATCCAGCTTTGGGGGGGGGGGGCTGGCGGGATGCTTCACAGGTTAAGAGTATGTGCTTCTCTCAAAGAGGATCCACGTTTCAGGCGTCCACAGAGAGGATCCTGCAACTTCCTGTGACTCTAGCTCCTGGGGGATCTAACACCCTCATCCAGCCTCTGTGGGCACACCTACACACACGTAAACACAGGCACACAGACAGACATGTGCAACAAAGTGATAAATCTTTATTTAAAACCGACTTGTGGATTTTTTAAATTTCAGATAAACCTGCTGACATGAAGCCTGCATTCCCCAGGCAATACCCTCCAGTTTACCACAGTCACCACCATTTCCTGTTTCTCCCAACAACAAGACAAAGGGTCAGTTCTACTTACTACCACATTTGAGGTCTCTTTGCTATTAAGGAAGAATGGAACAGGGTTGAGAGCTCACCAACCTGTTCCGAAGGGGCAAACAGAAGATTCATGGAGAAAGAAGGCCGTGCTTAAAGGGAGATGGAGAAGAGCACATATTCAACACGCAGATAGAGTTTAATTGCACAGATAAGATGACATGACGCAACAAGCCTGGCCTGCCCCAGGTCTGTGCTGCCTGCAGGATGAAGGTATACTTGTATTCAGTTGATGGGCATGACTGTGGCGGAACTTTTCAGTGCTGGAGAAGGCAGCTGATTCCTTTATGCTTTCCCAGGGGGTCCTGTGTACATGTTTGCTGATTCTAGGCAAACACCTCAAACCCAGCTGCTTGCAATCTGAAGGCAAAGGTCCCTGCTGCTCTTTCCTCGCATGGTGACTGAAAATAGACCCTTGCCAATCGTGCTGATTTCACACGGGAAGCCAGACCGTGTTCATAGGCAAGAAGACTGTTATGTTGGAATCTGGCCTGGAGGTGGGAGTTTTGGCCTAAGATAGCTGAGGGGACAGGGCATATCCCAGCCCTAAGAGCTGACAGGGGTGGGAGGGAGATGGTCCCAGCTGTGGGTGTGGGACCGATGGGGCAGGAAGCCAAGCCAGGCATTCCACCTCCTGCCAGACAGTGCTGCGAGGGCTTAAGTGATTTCCTTCCATTCAATGTGAAGCTGTAGAAATAGCCAAAAGGAAGCATCATGTCATACTAAAGCTAGTCTAAATTGTTTACCACGGTTCAGGCCAGTCTGCAAGACTGGGGCGTGTAGAAACCAGGGATTTAATGTCCCAAGTTCTCCAGAATGCAACTAAATGAGTAGGCTGTCCATTTTCCTATTATCCAGCCAAATATTCCAGCGGGCTTTTTATCCAAGGGCATTCTGTCTTCAGCAGTTGGAAGGGCACAGGAAGGTGGGAGGAGCATCTCAGACCTGGTGGGGAAAGGTTACCAAGAGTCAGTCAATGCACACCCTTCTGAACTGCACTTTCTTCAGTAGGTGGGTGTGATGTGTCTTTCATATCTCACAGGAGATGCACAAAGCCTGCCTTGTACGCCTGATTGATAAGAAGGAAAAGCAGACTTCACTAGCCTGCTAGAAGTGAACTTATTAAAATAGTTGGATAAGAGGGCTGCCTCTTGGATAATCAGGAGAAAACCATGACTCTTCTACACACAGCTGCCGCCCGGGACAGGCTTGTATTCCATTGAGGCCTTGGATGTGTCTATGCAAAGGGCACTGAGAAAACTCCTTTGTTCAGCACGGACACACATTTATTGATTTGAAAAATCTGACAAGCTGAGAGCAAGGAGGGTAAGAGAAAACAGGAGGGAAGGTTGCCAGAGGAGTCCTAAGCAAGCACCCAGTGCCCTGCCCACATGTCCCTCCCTACTTACTCTCTTCTGTCATTTGTGCATATACTGGCCATCATGGCCCTATCCACACTCCATCCTTTTACCTGAATGCTTTCTCTGGCCCCAGAGCCTGTTCTGTCTGCAGGCATGGCAGAATTAAACTTCCCCTTCCAATTTTTGGCCAATGGAAAGTGGCTGAAACTCTTTTTTTTTTTCCTTCCAGATTCTGTGATCCAAGAAAGTAACTTCTTAACCTCGTTCTCCCTCTTGGTGTCTCCCTTTCTCCCTCCCTACAGGGAATACTCCAAGGGCCTGGCATACAGCTGGTGAGCCCTCTTCCCCTGAGCTATACCTCCAGCCCCACTTTGAGGAACTTCTTAAGGCATTTGGAATGTGCTCTCACAATACCGAGTCAGCCAGGGCTCATGCCTCTCAGGCTCTTCCTCCTTCCCTGCCTCATGCCCCCTTCCTTCACCCCTGCTCCCTAGGACGATACTCACTAGACAACAGAGGCACCTATGTCTTGCCTCAGATGCTGTTGTCTGGGTGTCCCAGGATGAGAGAAGGGAATTTCTCTTCCACACTTTCACACGTTCGTGTGCCTTGTCCCAGGACTTGAGGTACCTAGCACTTAACTACTCTCAAGCTCCTGTTATTATGATGTCACCAACACAGAGGAGGGACAAACGTTACAGATGTGCATTCCTACGGGTTGCATGATAATGAACACCGAGGAGTCTGTGTAGATGCAGGACAAAATAGTATGCTATGTTCTCATCTTTGCCATGTGAAAATTCACTTTTTGAAACCTTCCCTGAGACCCCACTTGCCAGATCATACTGCAACTCAGCGCCAAAAGCTGTGTTGATCGGTTCCAGGAAATGCCCTGCATCTGTCCTAGCAGCTGCCATTGATACCACCATCTGGGAAGGCTCGGGACAAGCTGGTAGTTCATGTCACAGTCCATTTGACTCTTTGCAGGGGCCTGGCACACCTTTCCCTTGTAAGTCCCGGTGCCACCTCTGATGTCCTCAGTACTTCCTGGGGTCTGGATTGCTTCTGCTTTGCTATCTCAAAGTGGGGAAGTAGTCTCAAGAACACCCACTTGACTTGAAGTCAAGTGCTGATGTAAGGGCCCAGTGTATATCACAGTGAGGAACTTGAGATCAGGTCTAAAAGGTACAGGTAGGAATAGCCTCCCCACGTCATCGGTTGCCAAGGCCCCTTCTTCAGCTCACACCTATGGCTCCCTGGGTGGTTTACTGCAACCACAGTCCCTCATTTCCTTCCATAGTGGCCCTGAAGGACAAAGGTAAAGAGAGCCCTCCCTCTAGGCACAGCCTTAAGGTGTGCACCTGGCCCCTCTCTCTGAAGGAGGTGGTCTTAGAGGCACAGAGAAGCCTTGGAAGTTGGTTTAAGTCTTGGACCATGGCCAGAAGTCTGAAAGACAAGGTTGGCTGATCTGGGACAGGAAGTCCCAGGGAAAGCCGAGGACATGTCCGCAGTTCAAGTACCCGATATACAAGCAGGAGAACATGAATTTAGAAACCACTAAAATCCCAGTGTGGTTTGAGCACCTCTAACTGCATCACTGAGGCCGGTGGGTCCTGGGGGCTGGTGGGTCAGCCAGACTACATGAAATGGCCAACGGTAAGATCTACACTCAGTGAAAGACCCTGTCTCAAAAAAATAAGGAGAGTGATAAAGACACCCAAAGTTGGTCTCTGGTCTCCACACAACTAAGCACACATCCAGACACACCAGCTCCTTGCCCCACCGTACGCACAAGAAAACACAGGGAAGAGGAAGGCGGACTGGCCTACATAGTTGCAAAGCCTATGCATGTCACACTGCTCACCAAAGACCATCCACCACAGAGAAGACCCTGAAACCAGTGTCCTGGGGAGGTCAGCTGGTCTTCCTTCTTGCCCAAAAGCATAATAAACTCCTTCCCTCCGAGGCAGATCTAGCCACTCCCGATGCTGACTGTCTATCCCACCAGCTGCAAATGTGCACCCTTTGATCTCCATGACACCCTTCAGAAAGACCAGACAACAACCTGGTGACAGACAGACTTAGTGAATCTTCCTCATCAGCACCGAAACAGCTGGTGTTGGTTTGCCTTCCCTGGCTGACAGCCTTTGCCATCTCCACCATCTCCCCAAACAGGCAATAACTGCTTCATCCATCTTGTGCCCACAGGATGTTGTTCAAATGAAAGGAACCATTTTATGGCAGAAGAAGAGCGATAGTGGGTGAACAGCCACTCAAGGAAGCCATCAGCATGGCATGTGCCATGGTACCAGAGCACAGCTGGCTATTGATGGTAGAGAAGCCTGTTAAAGGCTCAGCGAGGGCACCGGCTTAGGAGCAGCCCAAGGAGGAGCAGTGGTACTCACCTGCAGAATGTGGCAGACCCAGTCACGACGGCCGAATTCTGGACTGTGTCTCGGGAACCTAGGATACAGATGTCCCTCAGTGTCCACAGATGACTGGGCCTCTGACACCCAAATCCAAAAATGCTCAAGCCTCTCATATAAAATGGTATAGTATTTGCATATCTAGACACACTCTCCAATACATTTATTTATTTATTTATGTGAAAAATTAAAATACAATTACTTTATTTTCCTCCATTCCCTTTCCTTCCTCCAGCTCCTTCCATGACCCCTTCTTACTCTCTCTTAAGTTCACTTAATTACATTGTTGTTAAATTGTTATTACAGCACTCTTTCTCTCTCACACACACGCACATGCTCTTATAAAAATATATCAATACTGCTTGAATGTACATGATTTTAGGACTGATCACTCAATATTGCAACCAACTAGGGGGCTTCTTCCTGGGGAAGACCCTTCTCCCACTCTCAGCATCCCTTAATTGCCTATAGTCTTTTGTCTAGGGGTGGAGTCCTGTGAAATTTTTTCTTCCGTGTTAGCGTGTCTATTAGTATTATCCTCATTCAGGCCTTGCTTGGGCAGCCATACAGCCCTAACCTCTGCCATTTCTAGAAGCCACAGCTGATTTCCTGGTCCTCTGGCTCTTACAATCTTTCTGCTCCATCTTCCATAATGCTCCTGAGCCCTAGGAGAGGAGTTGTGTTGTAGATGTACTGACCGGGACTGGACACCCCAGATTCCCATATATCGTAAGTCATCTCTAGATCGCTTACACTACTAACGTACTGTACTTAGTTACTATATGACGTTGTTTATGGAATATTGGCAAGAAAAGTGTGCACATAGTACAGTCAGAATGTCTGGTTTGACCTGCATTTGGTTGACTCCCCAGATGCAGAACCCACAGATATGAAGGCCAGATATACCTGGGTCCAGGAATCAAAGGATAATGTTGGGATTAAACCTTTTGTCCTTGTCCAGAGAAGCACTGAAGCTCTGGGCTATCACTGGTCAGGGTGGTGGTATCCAGGAGAATAGCCTTTCAAATGGTCAACAGGCTTTGAGTTCTTCATGACAGTGGAGAAGCTGACAAAAAGCGGGACAGGGGAGTAACTAAACTGTAAGTGAGGACAGTGAGCCTCCATGGGCACCAGGAGCCAGCATAGCTACTTGGTCCAGGCGGGAGGACACATATAGATAGAGAAAAACCGAGAGTATTTCTGGTGCTTCTGGATCCCAGGATGATGGTTAAGAGGTCCAAGAGAAGTCAAAGCAAGCGTGAGACCAGACTTCAAAAGGATGAAGAAGCCTAGACCATCTTGCCAGGCAAGCCAGCCAGAGCATCTGTAGTGTGGGCTGAGAACAAAGGAAATCTAGAATGGACAGAGGAGAAGGAGACAGGAGTGGCTCAACTGGGGATGGAGTTTCCTTTACTCTCTTGCTTTTCAGATGTCAGTTGGCTGTGATCTCACAAGAGACCCTGTTTTCTTAAAGTATGTGAGGAACAGTGTGTTCCCATAAAATGCAATCACCCTCTCTTATCCCTAGGGTACATTCCAAGACCCCCGGTGGATGCCTGAAATTGCAGATGGTTTTCAACCCTACAAGAACTCTGATTTTTTTTTTTACTTAATTTTGATGAAATATACTGTATGAATTGGGCATAGTAAAAGAGTCAAAACCATAAAATAAAAATTAAAAACAGCAGTTATGTCAATATACCTAATAAAAGCCTGTGGATGTAGACTTCCTTCTTCCTCCTCTCTCCCTCCCCTTCCCTCTCCTTTCTCCTCTCTGCTTCTCTCCCTCTCATCCTCTCCCTCTAACTCCTTCCTCCTCTCCCTTTCCCATCCCCTTCCCTCTTTCTGTCTGTTTCCTCCCCTCTCCCTCCCCCACCCCTTTGTTAGGCCACGCTCTGTCTTTCTCTGGTGATGATGTGGAGTGGTATGATGCCTCCTTCTGAAAGGAAGCGAGGTGGGCGATGTGCTCAGGGTAGTGTGAAGCAGAAACTGAGGAATTATCCACTTATGATGCTGGGCCGCGGCTAACTGCAGGCACCTGAAACTGGAAATCAAAACAACCGAGTCAGGGATTTCTGCTAAGGAGCGGGATCTGCTCCTGCTGGAACAGCCGAGTGCACAGCTCTGGCCTCTGGCTTCACTGAGCACATCCCCGTACCATGTCCAGCCTTCAGGTGGCCATTTGCTCCTGCCCCAGATCAGCCATGGCTACTGAGGTGACCTCAGTACCCGCACAACCTGACAGCGCCTTCTCCCTCAGTCACAATGCCCACTTCTCCCTCCTGCTGTAGGACGTCAAGCGGGAACCGTGAGATGCCGTGGCACTCATTTGTTGTACACATACAAGTCCCTTGCAAAGGCGCAGGAAATAATACGTGGCTGACTTTGAACAATGGAGATAGAAACAATGGGTGAATAAATATTTTCCCCTTCCTCTCCGGGATGAGACCCTGAGCGAGAAGCGGCTTCTCTAATGGCACGAGGAAGACCACCCTGTTTGTACCAGACGCTCATTTTCCTCTTTCTTCTTTCCCACTCCACTGCCCCTCCATTCCTAAGAATTCTTCCAGAATCAACAACCTTGTGACTTTGCTCAGTCTACCAAATGTATGGACATGATAGGGCAATGGAGCCTTGTGGTCAAATCAATAGAACAAAGTCTGCACACACTGATAAGCTACAACTAGGACACAGAAGTAAGAAGAGTTTACTCCCAGGGGCTGTTTCTATATTTTGTTATCAGACACAGGAGGTAAACACAAGAACGGTGGCCTTCTGGGGACATGCTTAAATAACAAAGACAACTTTGGGCTTCCAAAGCCTCAAAATGGAGGGAGGTACCAGCCATTTCCAATAAGATAGTGAGGATTCTACAAAGTCTACGACATATGAGCAATATAGAGTGTCCAAAAATAGACTACCAGGCTTTTAAACCCAGACATTTTCCCTTACAGGCTGTGTGACCTTAGGAAAGTTACTTATCTTCTCCGCTCTTCAAATTCCATGAGTTGGAAAAAAAAATAGTCATGCTAATACAAAGTGCCTGGAGAGCCAGATTAAATGACTCAACCGCATCACACTTCAGCAAGAATTTTAGTTCTTAGCTAAGAATCTTAGCCATATCACTGGATACTTTGGTCTGTTCAATCCAAGTAATAGGGTTGGGTTCAGAGTCACAGAATATTGGCTCTAGTAGGGCACCCAGAGTCCTTCAAGGCCATGTCCGCTTGCATCTAGAAGGAGGAAGGGCTTGCCCAGCACCACAGTTAATCTTAAATCCTGACTCCTTCCTATTGCCCTTCTCCCTGCCTCTGGGGATGCTCCTGGTTCTCTCACACGGAGTCTGTTGCAGATTAGGGGAGCTGGAAATACATGCTTGGTGTTTTTAAGATGTCCTAAGGTTCTACGTGCTCTGCTAAAGACGGCCTGAGAGAATTCTGCTCCACCAAACAGCACTCAGCAGCCATGGTTGATTCGTTTCCTAACCTGTGCCCGCCTGCCTCAGAACCATACTGTGGAAAGAAGGTAAGAAGGCCAGGTTCCCTGTCTCTGTGTAGTCAGAATGGGAGCATCATGCTGGGCTTGGGAGTTGAAATTTTAAGTATTCCTGGGTCCTTGCGTGCACCATCACCACCGGTCTGGAGTCAGTTCTTCTGTGGCACCTGGTCACTGAACCCTGTCCTGGAACCTCTTGCATTAGAATACATTTATGTTTCAAAAACTGTTCCTGCAGTGGTGTTCCCAGTGCAGACACACTGCTAATACCTCTCCTAGATGGAGCTCAACACACAATTCACCTTGGGAAGAGCAAGAAAAAAAATGCATTCTGTTGAATTAAGGCTTTTAATATCCAAGACACATGCCCTGGACTGAAAGAGATCTCATACCTGATCGCAAGCCCACCAGAGGTTCTGCTGTGCAGGTCTGCTTAGCAGAGAACTAGGGTGTCTGAAGAATGTCCTGGCTGTCATTGGACAGCAGCCTGTGCAATGGGATGCGAACAGAATCTCATAGCTTCAGGCTGCCTGCCCTCTGTTCTGTCTCCCCCACCAATACACACACAATGGCGGCCGCTCCTTGAATACTATACAAAAGATGTGGCAGATATGCATGTTAGATGGAACTACCATTTTTGTGTCAAATGTAAGTGTTGGTAAATGTGTCCTTGAACTAAGCCAGAGAAGGGAACAGAATTTGGGTGCAAAGCGATAGGTATTTTATAAATGACATGGCCTCACCTTGCTTTTGAGAGTGGACAGTGGCATAGCATCTCTGTTCACACCTTGGCTGACACACCGCCTCTTGTCCCTGGCTATTAGAACCTGGATCCTCGGGGTGAATGGTCCCTGTGGTTGGCAGCAGGCTGTACCTTCCTCTTTCCTCATCCCAGCAGGTTCAAAGGTTGGCAGCTGCTTGGTAGTGCTCTGAAGACATTTAGAAAGAGGGAAGGGGAGGGAGTTAGACAAAAGTGGATGCTATGGACAACTGGCAGGCCAAGGGTGTCATGTTCTGCAAGGTGAGAGGTGGTCTACCAAACAAGAAATATTCCATCAAAATGATGTCAGCGGTGCCCACTGAGGACGCCAGCAGCTGTCAATCTTGATTGAGACCGTGGGGCTCAAGATCTCATCTGGACACACAATTTTTTTTTAATTTTTTTATTAATTACACTTTATTCATTTTGTATCCCCCCATAAGCCCCTCCCTCCTCCCCTCCCGATCCCACCCTCCCTCCCCTTTCTGCATGCATGCCACTCCCCAAGTCCACTGATAGGGGAGGTTCTCCTCTTCTTTCTGATCTTAGTCTATCAGTTCTCATCAAAAGTGGCTGCATTTTCCTCTACTGTGGCCTGATAAGGCTGCTCCCCCCTCAGGGGGAGGTGATCAAAGAGCAGGCCAATCAGATTATGTCAGAGGCAGTCCCTCTTCCCATTACTATGTAACCCACTTGGACACTGAACTGCCATGGGCTACACCTGTGCAGGGGTTCCAGGTCATCTCCACGAATAGTCCTTGGTTGGAGTATGGGTCTCTGGGAAGTTCCCTGTGTTCAAATTATCTTGTTCTGTTGCTCTCGTTGTGGAGTTCCCGTCCCCTCCAGCTCTTACTATTTCCCACTTCTTACATAAAATTCCATTCACTCTGCCCATCAGTTGGCCATCAGGCTCAGCATCTGCTTTGACGGTCTATACTGCAGAAGCTTTCAGAGGCCCTCTGTGGCAGGTTTCAAGGTTGTTTCCTGTTTTCTTCTGGCTTTCAGAGGCCCTTTGTAGCAGGTTCCGAGGTTGTTTCCTATTTTCTTTTTCTTCTGATGCCGGACACACAATTTAACAACACTTCTCCTTCTTACACGGGATGCTCTCAGACTCCTTCTACCTTATTCTGTTCCATTTCATGAAAGCGGAATATCCACGGATCGTGTACACACCCCCCTTATGCTGTTTTCATGGTCTACAAATAAGCAGTGACACATGTGATGATTTCGAAGTCTTTAACCGGCTATTGGATAGGAATGTTGGGCAACTCTCAAGATGAGAGCCACTTTTCTGCCCTCGTGCTTGACTTTAAAAATCACAGGGCGTCAAGCTGGGAAGATGGTTCACCACTTCAAGAGCGTGTGCTGCATCTCAAACCAGCAGCTGGTAACCTCGGATAGCTCCAGCTACAGGGGAACTGAGGCCCTCTGCTGGCTCCACGGGCACCTACATTTATGCATACACACACACACACACACACACACACACACCATATTTGAGACATAAACAGATAAATAAACAAACCATCTGCAGCCAGTGTGTCCCCATTAACTTCCCTTTTGCATCATCATAATTGTGTCACATCCAAGAAAGAAAGAAAGCTCTCTTCTGAAAAAAAAAAAAAAATCCCTGCTCACTCCTGGGATTCCCCACCTTAACACATGAGTCACTGACTACCCCCTTCGTCACAGTCTCTGTTCCCTATCACCCTGTGAGTACGTACCTTGCCCTGAGATAAACTTGCTCCCAATTCCTCACTTTGTGTCTTCTGAATTCTTTCTCCGACAGTGACAAGAGCCTGGACACACTGGGTGGAGATCTCCAGGAGCTCTCTCTGCACCTAAGATCTCCTCAGCCTTCAGCACCATCATTCTTTCTGTCGCATTAAGTCCTCTGCACAAATCGTCTCATCTTTTCTT